CAGGAGTCGATTGTTCTGGTCAGACGCTAATGTTAAAACACATCAGTACAAAACTCTGAATTAACTGATGTGTAATTCTGCCACAGTGTGATCGGTAACTAGCTGTGTTAACATACTAACTAACATTTCTTTGTTTAGTTAGCTGAAGCGAGGTCAGTGGGAGCGGCTAGTTACGCCCCAGCGTGGTTGGTGTCGCAAAATATGAGTCAAGTAGCCAAAAATGTTAATTTAACCCAATAACTCTTTAAATCACAACCGCAGGAAATGGGGCAATGAAATGTGATGCAGTGACTGTCAATTAAAAGGCAGCCCTAGATTAGCTGCTAGCTACTTTACAGAGGGGCGTCACCACCGTGATTCAGGCTTCCTAGTACACGTTCACGCACAGGTACACAGCAGCCTATACAGTTTAAAGTAGCTCCTGGTGGATACTAGACTACTGTGTATATATATTTATATACAATTTATAGATGGTTTTGGTTTACCCTGCCTTCGGATGCTGCAGGAATAATCAAACTTGCTAATAGACCAATCCAGAGAAGCAGTAGATGTAACTGGGATTGCTGGGAGTGTTCCAGTCTTCCTCACTCTATGTCTGATAGTGTGGCATCCACTATCAATAACAGGCCCAGCTGGGCTCTTATGGCTCAAATAACTATTTTCATTGCTATTTAATCAGTCACTTTAAAAAAAAGAAATAAATATTTGATTCATTCTTGTCCCAGTTTCAAAGAGACAAAGGTCAAGTGTTCAAAGCCATTGTTTTGCCCAACCAACCAACTAAAGCCATAAGACTTTGAATTTGCTTATAGAGCAGCAAATTCTCAGCACAAATAAATCAGAACCAGAGGTATTTTGGACAGTTTTGTTGTTTGACAGTAATTGATTGTCATAATTCCTGTTAGTTAATTTTCTGACAGTCAGTTGATCATTTCATTGACTAATTCTTTCATCTGTCATTCATGCTATGCTTAACTTTCTAGTTGGAAAGGTTCTTGGATAAATAAACTGAAGTAGCACTGTGTTCCTTGATCTTTTGAGTAAATCCTTGGCCATTGTTAAAGCTGCGTCTTTAGGTTTTGTTAATTCTTCTGATCAGAAACACTTCCAAATGTTTTAGAGATTGTAACTTTGTAATGTGCTTCAGTTTTCAGGTCAGATGCTCATTTCACTCTGTTGTACCTTCAGCATTAGATGGTTAAACCAAGCTGCACAGAGATGTAGCAGTTAAATGATTGCCCTCTCTCAGACTACATCTAGGAATAGACTTAAATATTTATGAATAAGTCCTATTTATTGTTTGTCTAATTATATGGGCAACAGATTAATAGAGGATCCACTTACCACTTATAAGCCACTTACCAGGAGAGAAATGTGTTGTAGTGCCTGTGAGTCTGGACTAAGTCTCACTCCATAATAACAGAGCTCCAGACATCCTCAGACTTCATTGTACCAGCCACACCACTGAGAGACTGTGTGGTTATTCATCTCCACACACACAGGCAGTTTTTGTGTTGAGGCGCTGTGCTGTCAGAGCCATCCATCTATCTGGTTTATTGAGCCTGCAGCTGCTTGTCAGCGTCTGTCAGTGTCAAGGACAGGGCTGCACTAATAAAGTCTCTATGCCTCTGTGGATTTCAGTTAGTAGGAAACAGCCTCTGAAATCTGAAATTTGTTTTGCACTGAAATCAAGTAAAACGTGTGTGTGATTGATAACGCAGTGCTGCATGGCATGATAACTTTTTTTTGTTTTGTTTTTTCTTTGCATGAGCAATAATTTCAGTTCTTTATGATGTTTTACATTTGTTACATTTTACAGTGATTATATGAGTGGGTGTGCATGCATCTTATAAATTAACACAAATCATTAAGGTAGTGCTGCATTTGCTGTTCACTATAGATATCCCATGAGAACATTTGGAGTAATTCATTTGCTTTTTGTCTTATTATTTATTTAATTTTCTAAACTGTCATGAAGAATTTTCAAAGATGCCAGTGGACCGTCAAAGGAAGCAAGAGACAATATATGCTCAGTTCTGCAGCACTGATAGGTCTGTCACGGTTCAGCTCTGCTTCCTGTTCGGAGAGCTTTTGTTTTCTTTGACTTCCTGTCCCGTGTCACCTCACCTGCCTTAGCTTTACCTCATTACACAATCACCGTTTATGTTTTCACCTGTTCCTCATTAGCTCCTGGCCTATAGCCCATAAATAACTCATCCTTGCCCTCTGTTTCTTGCTGGCCTGTTGATGCTAGCGTATTGACGACAATGCTCGTTCCGATCTCTCTATTTACGATCAGGCACTGATGACACCTCTGCCTTCGTCTCCTCACTTGTGTTTCTCATTCCACTCACCTGTGTTCCTTGTTCCTGCCTGTTTGCTGCTGAAGATGCCCGTGCACTGTGTGAGTGTCCTTCAGCTCTGGGTCTGCCACTCATTTGTGTTCCTTGTTTCTGCCTGGTTTACTCCTGAATTGCCAGTGACGCTGTAGCCTTCCCTCCCTCTGTGTCTTTACCTTGGCACTGGCGTGTCTCCTGTCCCGCACTACCTGCGGTATGTTCCTGATCGGCCAGTGATTCTGACTCCTGGCTGGAGAGTTCCTGAATGCCCCAGTGACGCTGGTGTGTCTCCTGGCCCGCATTACCATCGGTGTGTTCCTGATCTGCCAGCGACTCTGTCAACACCCCGACCCTGTCTCCTCACCTGTGAGCTCCTGAATCCCCCATGACACTGGGGGGGGGTCTTCTGTCCTGCATTACCTCCTGTGCGTTCCTGGCCCCACAACTACTTCTCAGTTCACTCCCAGCTGTGCAACTCACCTGTGTGTTCCTGGTCCAACAGTTCTACCCAGTTCTCTCCAGTCTGTCTGGCTCCCCTGAAGGCTCCCTGCACCACAGTGACACTCCAGTTTCTTGTACACTTTTCTGTCAGTAAAGACTTTCTAGCTCTTACCGAGTCCTGGTCTGCATTTTGGGTCCTAGCCCTATGTGAGCATCACAACAAGACCGGCAGCTCAGTGTAATATGGGTCAAAGTTTTTAATTTGATTTGTTAGGTCCCATAGATCTGGAAATGATTTTGTTTTTCTTTTCTCAAAAAGCAACGTATTGAGATCCAGAAACTGCAGCAAGGAGATAATCTGATCCTGGGCTTCAGCATTGGAGGAGGAATAGACCAGGACCCTGGGCAGAACCCCTTCTCTGAGGACAAGACTGACAAAGTAAGCCTTTATATTTGTGTGTCTCAGCTCTTTTATTGACTATGGTACAGCTGATAGGAACCAAACCAGTAACATTATTGGCATGTGAGATTTCTGCACTTAAATACTCAAAATCTCACTGTAAAAAAAAAAGACAGTATCTCATTAAGTCTATTTTTTAATAAAAGCCTGTCATTTTCAAACGTATATGCATTCACTGGTAATATGGGCTATTAATGTTACGCTGACCAGGTTTAGTAAAAAAAAAAAAAAAGGCTCCCATAGAGAAAGAAGTGATACCTCAATATGAAAGTTCTCATTATACAATTATATAAAGAGATGATCAAGCTCAGCTTTAAATTTGAGTGTATTATCAGTACGTGTTGGTGCAAAATAGACAAACTATACAGAACAGTAAGAAAACTGTAAGATGATAAATGGTAATAGTGAAATACCACCCAGACCTCACCTAACTGATGTCACAGAGGGGAAAACCGAAGGTTTACACAGTCATGTCGTACCTGCTTATTGTACACTCTTGTGAACTGGAGAGATGGAGCCATGCCATCTTGATACAAATGAGTAATAACTTTGGTTCTCTGGCTTTTTCAGGCCCTTCTTTAGATATGCTTGACCTATTTTTGTAGAGCTGTGAGCTTAGATGTGCAGGTGTTTTTTTTTTTATCTCCTTGATCATAAACACTTTCCCTTAGAAGAACGGTGGTCATCTGTCTCATTTTCATTACCTGTTTGCTCCACATAAACCTGAAATGATTAGTTGATTATTCAATTAGTCAATTAATTGTTAAAGTGATGTATTAAGCCAAATGGCCAAAAAAAAATTTTTTTTTTTGGTTCTAGCTTCTCAGATTTGAGGTTTTGCTGCTTTTCTTTGTTATATATCATAATTTGAATATCTTTGATTGCTGGTTGGTTGGTTGAACCCATCCCTTATCTGTACCGCCACTGTACCACCAAGCTGCCCCTGGTTGCTTGAACAAAATAAACAATTTTATGATGTTACTTTGGGCTCTGAAAATTGTGATGGACATTTTTCACCAGAGGTTCTATTTTCTCCATCTCTTCATTTGTTTTTATATAGTCTGTATTGATTATACAGCTGTGAGCATATGGAAGTGTGAATGTGTTTGTTTTGTCCAAAGGGCATCTATGTGACCAGGATAACACCAGGAGGACCAGCAGATGTGGCAGGCTTGATGATGGGAGACAAAATAATGCAGGTGTGTAGAGAAATAGAACTTTGATTGAGAGCCACAAGATGTCACTGTGTGTACACTGGAGTGTCTGGTTAGGTCCTATGCTCACCCTGCTGTGCTGTTAATCAACTTTATGCCAACTGAAAATGACTACAGCTTTTATTAATCTAAATGTTTTTCTTTCCTGCCAGGTGAATGGCTGGGACATGACCATGGTGACCCACGACCGGGCCCGTAAAAGACTAACGAAGAAGAACGAGGGTGTGGTGAGACTGCTGGTAACCAGGAAGTCGCTGGAGGAAGTAGTCAAACAGTCTATGAACAAATACCCCAGACAGTAACGTAGTGGCTTAGGGCTGAATACTCTTCTATGGTGAGATTCCCACAAATTCAGATGATGGTTGCACTGTGGCCTTTATAATCACATCAATGCAAAAAAGTCAAACAAAGACCACATCAGACTAATGTGTAGGTGACATGCAGTATATGGTGCCTGCGTGTGGACACCTCAGTGCCAAAAAGCAGTCCAATACTTTTTCAGCTCTACAGGACTCAAATACATTTAATCTGAATCTGTTCTCCAATTAAAAGAATACAGCGATTTGTTTTTAGTAACACATTTTGAAAACCACTTTGACAAATTTTGAGAAATAATATCATTTTCAAATAGTGTTGTTTGAAAGGTACTGTTTAGGGTTATGAAATATGAACAATTTATGCAGATTTTTACAACAGTTACTGTAATTATTACTTTTATTATTGAACAACTGTGAAAAATTAGTTTTTGGAGGATCAACAAATCATAAAATTGAGTAAACAGACCATTCCTGATTTATTGCCACCTTCATCTTTACCAGATATCCTCAGTCTGTGATAGGTGGCAAGTGTTCTTTGCAAGCAATCCCAGTCTTTCCTAATGCAGGCTGTGGGACATCTTTGTCTAAAACCTGACCCATGATCCTCTTTGCCTACAGCTGTCCAAAGGTAGTTTTGATGGACTGTAAAAATCAAGAATGTTCCATGCTGCAGATTGCCATTAATGATCAGAGTTTCATCTCATTTAAATAAATAACTTTTTTTTGTCATTCCTGTCCATATTATAGCATCAGATGCCAAAGTAAAAGCCACGACACTGTAAAGTGATCAGATGGTACAGTATTCCATGCAAACTCCTTACAACAGTGTATATTTAGTTTTTAGCATACGAATGTCTTTCCACAAATAATTCTTTCACGGTAGCATCTTTTTGTTGTATTTATCTTGTGTTTTGTTGATGTTTATTACATGTGTGGAGAAAATAACAGTTCAAAATGCATCTCCTTCTGACAAATTGTCTTATTCAATATTCCACAAACCGGACCTATTTTTGGATAACGCCTGTCATATAATTTTCAATAGAGTCACCTTTATCAGGTTTAACAAGAGAAAGTTGGTTATTTGCTGTTTTGTTGCAAGCAAACCCACACGTTTTACACTGGAACTGATGACATTCAGATTGTCTCAAACGGTAAAATGTTTTGAAGTTGTTCTTAGTCCCAGACCAAACTGCCAACCTGAATGCAGCACAAGTGAAAGTTGGAATGTGCACAGCAGCCTTACATGGATGCTTTAGTGCCACTATGTTTAATGGTTGCTTCTTGTTGCTTTTTCTCTTTTGACATTCCTCAGTGGTTTCTGCAACATCACAATGATTTACTGACTCTGATATACTGCATGCGATGTAACATCACAGATGAATGATTTAGCATTAATCAATAATATTTTGGCTTTTTGAAATGGTACTGTGCGGACATCGGTATTACAGTACCAATCTTATATCTTTGGGTGATCTCATCGGCTATTTATTCTGTGCTAGTGGTATAAAATAACACATTTTGTAATAGAACCATTTGATTTATATAATATTAAAAACCTTGTCTAATTATGAAGTTGGTAAGATTTAAGGTTTCATTCTGAAATTAGACCATATTAAATTGATGCATCCAGTTTAACACTAGCAGTACACCATTTTCAAATGAAAAGAATCAAATTATGACCTTGGTGTTTATTTAGATTATCATGCTGAATAGTTCCAAACATTTGGAGTGCGCCATAGAGTTACATTGACTTGGCTGCTATCTTCTAAAGTAAGATGTTGAAACCACTAGCAATAATTATACTTGACATTTTAAGTTAGTGATGTGTCAAAACACATTTTACAACCTTTTGACTCTGAAATATTGTGTCACTTTAACAGATTAGGTACCTATCTAACTAGCTAAATTAGCTGAAGTATCTACAACAACAGGACACAGAACTAGTTTGTATGGCTGTACAAGTCATTACAGTCAGTCATTTGCTGATAAATCCTGCTGTTCCCTACAGAATAGTGTCTGGAACTATTTGAAGCTAAATGAATCGTTTGACCTCTTTGTGACACAACTCTTCTATCTTAAGGGCTCTGCTCTAACTGGTTCATTTAAAGGATTTTAAAGGTCTAACAAGGTAAAAGTGTCTCATATTTTACAGAAAAAAGCAAAAGTAATATTGTGTAACAGAAATATGTAGTTTTTCTTTTATCATCTCGGGACCCATAAGAGTTCCCAACTTAGGGGTCTACAGTGGTACATTTAGAAATGAGTGCAATGCAAGACAAATCATGCACTGTATTTTCTATTTGAATTCATTTCTGTCCTGATTTTGTGAACTGCCAGCAGAGTACAAGGTTTTGTATTTGATTGTGTACACTTTATAACATGAACATTTCTTAGATATAAAAAGTCTGAAAACAACATCTGCCTCTTCACCTTTCTTTGATAAAGAACCAATGTAATAATCTATTTTTATCTCTCTCCACACTGCAAAGCCTTTTTTTTAACCTTACAAGCCCTTCAAATAGCTTCATGTTGCCAGTTGTAAAGTAATCACTTGACGTTCCAAAGCAAATAATCTATTGCCTGACCTTTCGGTGTTTGCTGAGTCATTTTGACACAGAGAACTTTCATCCTTTTAAATATGTGAACCTGGAACCAGTCACCTGCCTTTGAACTGAGGACTAGGGGAATAAAACAGTCCATGATACAGCAGAATGAGGAATGTATTTGCAGAAAGCAACTTGCTGTTATAAAACTTGTGAGAGTTGAACATGCTGCACTATATCTTGATTTTGTTTTTAGAAGCGGTTTCTTGAATGCAGTTAGTTAAAACACGGCAAATATTCTTTCACACTCATGGCTATCAAAAAATTGGACATGATTCTTATTTTCCTTTTTAGCGCATTGTTATTGTAGTTGTAGAGATCATGTTAATTATAGTGACATGGGCAAGTAGAGTGTGTATATACTACCAGTGAGGTGAATTTTCTGTGCAACGCTTTTTTTCAGGTCTTCTAATACACCAGGTTGCTGTCACATTATGCGACAGGGTCGATTCAGGCAATGCTGCGTTAAAATCCCCCCTTTGAGAAATAATTGATGAGGAAACTGTGCAAGTGTGTGTGTGTGTGTGTTATTTTTATTCCAGTGACAGAGGGAAGCATGCTCCATTCCACCTGCCTGGCCATCATAATAATTATATGGTGTTATGAGATGATAAAGTGGTTGCACAAACATTACGGACAGTGCTCAGAGTCACAGTGTGAGTTTGCTTTCGCCAGTACCACATTAACACATTACATGTTGCTAGGTAACTAATGGCCAGCTGTAAGTGGGAGCAATGAGCAGCGGACTTCTTTACAGGGAGTACTGAGTGTTATAATTTAATCAGTAGTTATAAATATTTATACACTTATTGAACCATTTTATTAGCTCGCAAAATATATCTGAAGTGGTTTTATGTACCAAAAGCAAAAGAAAAAAAAAAAACACTTTTTACCTACTAAAGAAAAACAGACGGGTGAATGCAAATCTAAACGGGGATCATACATGATCCATGCCTCCCACGTTATAGCAGGATAATTGGGTTGCCATGGCAATGCAATCTGCTCCTATCACTTTGGTCCTACACCAGATTGGAACCGGGGGAAATCCACAGCATTAGATCATAGCAATAAAAGACTGTAGAAGTGGTTTGCTGAATGTTTGCAGTAGGAGCATGCCATGGTTATTTGTATGTATTCATTCTGTTATAAAGGGAAGAGTGACATGAGAGATCAATAACCTCTAGTTCTGCTGGACCCACTGACGGTTGCATGCTGTACTGATCAAATGTATATATTTGTATTTTAATTTCTAGTGGACGTCTCCAAGATAGATGGTTGGCTACAATTGTAAAAACTGAATGACATGATGCAAAAACATAAAAAAAAATAAAAAGATTTGGTTTTGCCAGAGTAGTGCAGCTGTAAAACCACATCATCTTGGAACTGAATGTTTCACACAGTGCTAGCATGTTAACAGCTGCACCAAGTGGACAACAATGTGTAAAGTGAAGCACAGTAATATTCACAGTTTGGAGATACTTCCTCAAGCCTTTTAGGTGTATGACAATTTTAAATCACTGAATAAAAAAAACAAGGCATGAATGTTTATCCTTAAGATATTTACACTAAAATTTTTGTTGGTGTGTTACGTTAGTTGTTCTGAAGCTTTCAGTCACTAGATCCTCTTTATCCTCGTGGTCATGGAACTGTAGATGCTCCAGTTTGTTTCTGTCTATGTTGGCTTAACATCTTAGGTAGATTGTGTTATGATTAAAAGCTCCACAATATCTACAAAATAGACCTTGCTATTTGATAAATTTTATAACAGCTGACTGAGTTTTGTTTGCTATTTTCGAGGTCAGAATGAATCTTCAGTTTAACCTTTTTAAGCCATCGTGGATGAGAATTCCCTAAAGTGCTCAGAAAAGCTACTTCAGAACAACTTGTAAACTTCCCTCCGCTGAGGAAAACAGATGTAACCAAAAGCTTGAGATTAGAAGAAGCTAAAAAGGAAATATGGTGGCTTGACCCTGTTAATGCACAATTGTAAAAATCAAAACTAAAAATGTGTGCCTTTTCATCTTCATTAACTAACTTTCATTTCAAAATCTCAAATTCTATAAATGCTTAAGGAAGTATGCAAAACTTCATTTTATAAGTGTTCCCCAGAACCAACTGTGGTGGAAAATTCCCAAGTCATGCACGTCTCAGAGATAATTCCAGTGAGTTAGGATACCGATGTGTATTGTCTGTCAGAGTTTAGGGAACGCCAAGTTCCATTGATAAGGACAATTAAGTGTGACGTGAGATACCCTGAGTGTGAGGTGTGTATGGGGAATCTGGCTTTAACTGGTTGAATGTGGAGCCTCCCAAGGTCCTCTGTTCTGATGATATGTGGGTTTAAGATCAGCAGGGAGCTGTTCTTTTAGTATGAATTTGACATGCCCCTCTGTATGTACATTTCAAGCTCTCTGGCCAGAATAAACAGTATCTATTTTAGAAAACAACTGTGACGGTTCTGAAAGTGAGATTTCTTCATCCCCCATCACCCATTTAGATTTCTTTAATCATTAAGCATTGACATTTTGCCTAATACCCATTTTTTATTCTTATGTCCAGTAGTTACCTGGAACCTGTGGTTGTAAAATCCTTTCCTTTTCACCACAAACAGCTGGAATATGACTGGAAATGCAAGTTTTTACAGCTTGCTGCAGGCTACATATCAGAGTAACTGTAACTGAGCATGAACATGATGAGTGGGTGTGGGATTGGAAAGCCAGGCAGCTGGATGCCAAAGGGTTACAAATACACATCCCCTGGGAGATTCAGGGCAGACCCCATGTAATGAGCAGATGCATGTTGTCATAGCAATGACTACTGTGTTTGCACAGTAGGCTCCTTCAGGAGCCAAATTCAGTGTTTAGCAAGCAAAATTGGTGTCATAGCTTTCATAAAGTGCTACTCCTCTAAACATGTAACATTTATTATGGAATTTATTAAGAGTTTGGTTTATTATTCTGAGTATTTCACACAGGCTGTATTGTTATGGACTGGCAGCAGGTGGTTTATCTTTATTTTTTCCTCTCCTGAAGGATCCTTAACCTCTCTTCCTCCCACACAAACCTCCCAGGCGCTCCTCTCTGCCTGAGGCTTCATGTACAAGCACAAACCATTTAATAATAAAAACGGGAGAGAACAACGAAGATGCTGAGGGGAGATACACTGTGTGGGTAGCACTAGTTCATATCGGCTGCGTGGTGGACAGGAAGATTCCATATGACAGTGTGAAGACGGACAGGTGGGTAGATGGTTTTATTTTCTAATTAGCTTTTTTGTAGCATGCTGATATATAATATCTAAGTCTGACATGGTTTGAGTGAATGTGAAGTTTGAATCCGCTTTGCAGCGTCTTCAGGGAGGACCACCAGCAGAAGACGTCTCCTCATGACATCTTGACACATCCAAAGGCAGAACCAGGGTATCTGACTTTATTTTCTCTTACAGCCAGTTTCATGTAGCTGTTACATTTTTATAAGAGAATTGCAAGAAAGAATGTAATTGTCAGTCTATGAAAAGCACAAGCTGACAACAATTAAGGGTGTACTTTCACAATTTAGTAGGCTATTATACTTCCATATAGTTGGGTGACTTCTGTTATAGAGATTTATAAAGCAATGTCCAAGTTATTCTGCCTTTCAACCCCCGTTCACTCATCTCTCTCTCTCGCCTCCTGAATCATAAAGTTTGTTGGTAGGTTTAGTAATTTACACATAATTTACATACTGAGCTCTGGTTGGACACTATCTTCTTGAGTTGTCACTGTAAACTGGCACTGGATAAAGTAGTTTCCTGAGTGTTGATGTGTTGTTTTTATTATTCAAGTACCGGTGGCTCATTTAAGTTATTTTGCAGAATGACTGCAGTGATCAGCTTTTAGTGTAGTTTCTTCAAATTAATTAACAGAATGAAAGAGAAACTCTGTGCTTCTGTTTCCCCAAGCACAGCTGGTTGTTGCCAGGTCGTCACTCCCATGTGAGTACATTTGCCTAAGATTGAATCTTTCAGATTCACTTTGTCACACCACTCCACAACGTTTGAGTTGTTGAGAAGTGATGAGCAGTGCCAGCAAATTTTATAGGTTTAATTCACAGTGAATGTCATCCGCAGTGTTTGAGTCAGTCTTAACGGGTTAAACTGTGAGGTTAACAAGGGTCTGGCCACATGGCATATGGCAGGTTTTAGATTTTTAGTTGGCATTGGATTTCACCTGCTGACAGCACCACTGCAACACCAATATGAGTGGACTGTGTGCCTAACAGTTTAATGAAGTAACTGTTTTACTTCACTTTGTATTATAACAGGATGGTGGGCTACCACATAAGTTACATAACTGGAGCTACATACCTCTGTTTTGCCTTGTCTCATTAGTGAAAATGCTGTGTCTTGCTGTGTTTACTTTGTTTGAGGCTCCATTGTACTTTCTTCAATACCAACCATCCCCACTGTCATCCAAAACACAATCAGCCAATCACAGTTCTTGCAGCCCCCATATGGTATTTTTATAGCTCCTAAAATGTAGGTGCATTTTTTAGGGGGCATACATCAGCTGAGGTGTAGTATGTGGTTTACCTGTGGAGCCTGTGCATGTAGCTTATCTATGATTTGTGCATTGCTGCTACCATGACAATAAATATTTTAGTTTGTTTTATTGAGGAACTTTCTCTCTTCTTTGCTTTTAGAATGATCATTTTTGCTTTAAAACGGGACATTGTTCACATTGTTATGGCATATTTTCTCATCATTACTAGACACCATGTTATTCCATTAGTACAAGAAATGTTTCTTGTTATAACAACATACAGCATCATTCTGTCTTGTAAATATCACAAAACCTTTCTTATTATTTCAAAAAAATCAACATATCTAATTAAAAAAAAACTTCTTGTTATAACATGATAGCTTGGTGTTAACCTGATTTTCTTTTGTAAAATCAGTGCCACTGAAAATATAAAGATTTTCATCAGGATGTTTTGTTGTGTACGTTACAGCGTCACGTTCTATAAATTGTTCTTTCTGTGTCGAGTGTTCAGAAAAGTGGGTCTGCAGTGAAAAGACATTTTGTCAGATTAGATGGATTTGCCTTTGATGGACTTGTTATGGACTCCAAAGGGTCTGTTGCTAGAGGGGTGGGGGTGAGAAGGTCAGACCAGATGAGAGGCCTTTTCATGTCTGTCTGCTTATGAGAGCTCAGAAGTGAGACCTACTGTCATTGTGCTGACCAGCTCCGGACACACACACACACACTGCCCTGACTCTCTTGTCTACACTTTGACTGGACTGTTTAACGCAGGCTGTAAACCATGAATGGTGAGTAACCAGTGAGCAGTTTGTTGACGCTTTGCAAAGCTTCTCCTGAAATTTCCTCTGTATTTTATGTGAATGTGAGGAGAATATTAGAATTTAACAGGGCAGCAATGCTGGAGTTGTACTGAGAGATTTTTGTGACAGCATACGACATATACCCCTTTTGATTATGTAAGAACAGTTCTTAATTCATGAGATCAGCAAGAAAATGCTTTTTGCACTAAGTGTACATAATCTGTCAAAGCAAATTTCACAGTAACTACTGTGTTGTAGAAAAATATGAAAAACCATAGAGCAGCATTAACACTGCATATGTAACAGCCTTAGATAAGATCCCTGTATCCCAGTATGTTTTAACAAGGCAGACCTTCTGTTGAGGTGTGGAACATGCTATGCCTTAAAAGCTGTGTCTCCTTCTACCAGCACTATGTCCAACACTGATTCACATTCAGTTCAGTTATAAAATGTTTGCTAGTGTTTACTGCAGGTGTTTGTATTTAAGGTTTTTTTTAAATTTAGTTTTTGTACATTCTCTATATAATACATGACTGTTGACCACTTTAAGGACATTGATGCTTTCCATTGCTGTCATAGACCCCCATTTCCTTGCAGGTACAGTAGTTTAATGTTTAAGTGTTTATCACCAGTTTGTCCCTGATCTAATGATGGATGTTTGGGTTGTCAGAGGGTTTGGCACAGCTCTTGTGAACATAGTCACTGACAAACATAATAAAGCACTGCGGCACAATAAATTGACAGTTAAAAGTGCAGCTGTGTCCTTTAAGATAGAAAATTCCAGCACTATTCCCATGGCAGCTGATCAATAATACTATTTTAAGAAGAATACATTACCCAAATACGTACATGACTACTCAAAGGTGACCTTTTCTTAATTGTATGTACATGGGGTGCTTTCAGAATAGTGATCTTAAAACATTTATAACAATAAAGAATAGAATTAGAAACAAAGTGATCTTTAGCCGCTCCGTATTGTATAGCTCACAGGCTAGGTCCAGTTCGCTCAGACTGTGTATCTGCAATAAATCACTGTGCCAACTTCCCTTCTGCGTTGAACCGGACTGAGCTGGACAGGGTTATAAGCATTTAGTGAAGTTTTGACAGTAGAGAGAAAACAAAAGCCCCTGGCCAGAAGTTTTTGGTGAGTGTTCAAACCCCTAGGCACATGGGCAGAAGTAAAACTTTCAAAATAAAGGGGAGGCGACAGTGGTGCGGTGGGTAGAGCAGTCATCTCCCAACCAGAATGTTCGAATCTCGGTGCCAGCAGTCCAGAAGGAGGCAAGACACTGAAACTCCCCCCCTTCCGATGGTTAGAGCCATTGGTTCAGTTGGCGCCACAGATGGCTGCCATCGGTTTTACACAAATTCCTTCTGTGTAACATACTTGGCCAATAAAGGTGATTATCCTTTATCCTTATAATGTTTACATTTTCACAAATCTGTGAAAGCTGCTGATTTCAAAGTTGCTTTTACTTGGTGGCATAATTAAAACTGTATACTCTACTAATCATATGAAACCTGGTCAAAAACTGTTGGAGAAGTTGTGTTCATGAGACCTTCACACTGCAGGAAGCAGTAGTGCCAGTGTAAAAGAACTATAGAGAGATTATGAAGGTGAAGGCTCTGGCTGTAATGTAAATAAGCCAACAACTTGACGTAAGCACAGCATTATACTGTCTTATGTTTAGCAGCTGATGGTTTTTGCAGCTGAATCTATTACTAAGGTTCAAATTGGGCTTTGTGACACTAATTTTCATCTGACATGAACATACCATGACATTACATTTTGCCATCATGCAGTCTGTTTCAGTGCTAATCTAGAACTGTACAAACCGGTCAACTGTAAGACTGAATGCGCCTTTTCATCCACTCTCAAGCATTCAGCACTCCACAGAAATAGTAAAATGGGGATCATCAGTACTCTCTTGAGTCCTTTAGACTTCTTGTAACCATTGTGATTGTGCATGTGACTGCATACTGGAAAAGATGTTTGTGCTTCAATCACACCTAAAGGCAGAAGGTGTGAACAGTGTTGTGTGAGAACTGACTATTTGCCATCATCTGCTCAACAATGGACACATTATTTACACAGTAAACAGGAAATATATATAAATGTGAATCTCAGAACAATGGACAAAAGAAAATCAATAGACAAGAATGATGCCAACACAATGTATGAATGTTTTGAGGTCATATTGTAAGTGTTTGTCTCCCAAGGAAATATAAAAATACAAAGGCGAGAATGATTATATTGGATGTAAAATAGAACCAGATGCAGAAGAAGCATTTGAAAATGTTGGCTTTGAGTACACAGCTTCAAGTCTGTTTGAAAAGGGTGTTTCAGAGGAAAAACTGTAGCCTAGACAGATAAGAAGTGAGACCAACTGTCATGTGCTGTACACAGTCTGCTGTGTGTTTGTCAGCAGAGGAAAGCACGGTAAGACTACAATTTATATATGTCTATGTCTATATATATGTCAATATGTCTCTCTCTCTTCGAATTTGTTAAAAATTGTCACATTAAAGGTTTAGAAACAGACCTGATAGTTACTAGCTTGCTATAGTACAAGAAAATCCAGTTAATCCAGGTTAAGTTGTTCAATTAGGGAATCAGGACTAATACCTGAAGCTTGGCACATATTCAAGATCATGTAATTTAAAGTTTAACACTTTATCTGTGCATGTTTGCCTTGCCAGATGTATAGAACTAGCAAAAGGACAAATACAATATGTCTTCTCTTTTTCCTTCCTCTATATACGCTTTTCATTTTTCATTGTGTATTGTTATGTTTATTTGTATTTTAACTCAGACAGCAAGTGCTTTTACTTTTAGGTACATCTAATATGAAGTACTTTAATTATATATTTTTACTATAGTAGAAAGTAGAGTAGAGAATGTTTATATTGTCACTGATGAGTACCTCCATTTCTGGCTGACAATCATGAGTTTTTTTTTTTCAGTTAATCAATAAATTGTTAAGTTTATGAAATGTCATCAGTTGGAGCAAATCCTCCATCATTATTTCCCAGCGTCCAGACTGATGTCTCCAGATTGCTTGCTTGTCCAATGAACTGTCCCAATTTGAAATATGTTTAATATGCAATCCTATGACAATGAAAAGAGCTACAAATTCTTACACTTGAGAAACTGGAACCTGTGAATTTCTCTACTGTTGCTTAGTGATGATGTCTCCAAATGACTGATTAAAGTTATGTTTTGTCACTAGATTTATGCAATTGTTATGAAAAGAGTGCCATTTATTTTCTGTGCACTAAGAAAGAAAGAAAGAAAATATACTTTGGCATTTACAAAAAGGTTGAGTTTTGTCGATGTCACTCTCTGTCCCAGCCAGCATGTTTGTGTCACCACATACAGCATACTGTAAAGTGCCCTCCTGGCCCACATGGCTTACACATTCAATTTCAGTTTTGGCTTTGATTTGTAATTTTCAAACACAGCAGCCCATAGGGTATACTTTGTATGTTTTTAAAAATGCCAACATGTCTAAACTTAATATGTGACAAAAAATTCCCACCTACATTGTCCACTCCCTGCCTAGCTTCCCACGAGACCTGCCTCCTGGACCAAGTGCTGGAACTTATTATGAATGAGAAGCCCCCCACCAGCGCAAGTCTCTTCCTAAACGAGGACGCGGATAACCCCGCCCTGACTGAGAGAGGGGACCTAAGGAGACGCCTACGAAGAGCCATGGAGAGGAGAGCCAGCAGCATGAAGGAGAGGATGAATTCCGTCAGCAGAGGCAGCGTCAAAGGTTTTCTTAAGAGGAACCTGTTTGTCCTGTTCACTGTTGTCGCTGTGGCTTTTGGTGAGTGACAAGAGAAACCTGCTGGAGGTTTAACAAGGTTTTCTCTGTGGACATTTGACTTGATGGACATTTGTGCATGTGTGTGCAAAATTTTTCAGGTGTAATCCTGGGGTTTGTTCTGCGCCCCCACAACCTGTCCCTGAGGGAAATCAAGTACTTTGCATTTCCTGGGGAGTTACTAATGAGGATGCTGCAGATGCTGGTGCTGCCGCTTATTGTCTCCAGTCTGGTCACAGGTTTGCACAAAAACAAACACACTTAAACCCCCAGCATGTTTCAAAAGATTACTGGTTAGAACCTAAAATGACACCAGATGTTTGGGTCTCTGGCTATCAGTAAAGATCAGTCCTGTTGTGTGTGTTTACGTTTATAACAATTATAGTTTAAAGAATGCTGTTTTAAATGTTTGCCTGGGTGTCAAGGTCCTGCAGTGTATAATATATTAGCCAGTTGTATCTGAAATTAACACTGATAAGAACACTGAACTCACAGCAAACTGATTCAATTCCCCACTTAATGTCCTCTGTCTCAGGTATTTCCTCACTGGACAGCAGAGCATCCGGTAAAATGGGTGTGTGTGCAGTGGTTTACTACATGGTGACCACACTGATTGCTGTGTTCATCGGCATTGTCATTGTCATGATCGTCCAGCCAGGGAAAGGCAGCAGGGATAGTCCTGTAGTCAGCACTGGAAACATAGAACCGGTCCAGGCTGCTGATGCTTTCCTGGATCTCATCAGGTAGCACCTCAGTAACTCTGGTACACAGGTGGTATCAATCTTCTAACTCTCAGCAATAAAGTGAATAATGTCAAGATATTCCATATTTATGTACAGTATATAAGGACATTCAGACATCAAAAATAGCAGGAACATGAATTGTGTGAAGTGTACACACATCCATTGTTTCAGATCAAACAAATTACTCACTCTGTATAATTTAATATGATCAAATGGCTATTGATTAACATAATATAGGAAGTTAGAACCTTTTGTGACTCATTTCTTCTTTTCATTTTTATCATAGGAACATGTTTCCTCCCAATCTGGTAGAAGCTTGTTTCAAGCAGGTGAGACTTAATTTCACAGTTGAAAAAAAAAAATGTATATAAAGAAAAAAACCCTCAAATTTCACGTTATCAGAATTCCCATCAGCCACCTCTGTACCTAGTTCATCCAACCTACAAAAGAATTTATCTAAGACAAAAACTCATTTGAAAAAATGCATTATTTTCTTCTCCCCATGACCATAAAATCACATTTATTGCCCTACATGTGGCTTCCAGATCCAGACAGAATTGATGCTTAATTGTGGTTTACTTGTCACTCTACTTTTTGCAGTATAAAACCATGTACAAGAAAATTATACACACAAGGAATGTGACAGTGACCCTGAACCTCACCGACTTTCTCAATGTGAGCGAGTCTAATCTGAGTGGGAACCTCAGCAAGGTGCTGCCCATCATACAGGTGGGTGGCAGATGTGTCCTCTCAAGATAACAGGACATGGTAGCTTCAGACTAGCTACTCAGATTTAAGCAGAATGAAAATCATTTAACCATTATGAAAAAGAAATAAACATGCTCCACAGAGTGCTCCCCTTTTCTCTGACAGGAGACGGTGGAGGAGACTGTCCCAGTGTCTGGGTCCTCCGGTGGAGTGAATGCTCTCGGCCTGGTGGTCTTCTCCATGTGCTTTGGCCTTGTCATTGGTAACATGAAGCAGCAGGGTCAGGCTCTCAGGGATTTCTTTGACTGCATGAATGAAGCAATCATGAGGCTGGTGGCCATCATCATTTGGTCAGTAAAGACACACCTCCAGCAAATAAAAGAAATGTATTTGTAGGTCACTATTGTTGGTTTCTATTTTTTCTGTGATTTTTAGTATGGCAGATTGAGATACAGATTGAATTTCTTGCTTTGAAGTGTAGAATATGTATGAACATAACCTTAAAGCATTCTGTAACAATTACAGTTCCTAAATTACTGTAGTAAACCTAAGATCTAACTATAAACTAAGATCTAAATACAAAGAAATTCAAAAAGCAGTTTAATACCTCCTAATCTAAATGTTTAAGCTGGATACTAACTTTAGATGCAACATATTTTTGTATCTTTACATGCATCTTCCTCTGTATTCATGCACTTCTGAATCACTTCACCAGGTACGCTCCAGTGGGCATCCTGTTCCTGATTGCAGGAAAAATTGTGGAGATGAAGGATCTGGCGGAGGTGGGCGGCCAGCTGGGGATGTACACTGTATCAGTCATTGTGGGTCTTCTCATTCACGGTCTCTTTGTTCTGCCGCTGCTCTACTTCCTGGTGACCAGGAGGAACCCTTACAGCTTCATTGGTGGTCTGCTGCAGGCACTCATCACTGCACTGGGAACCTCCTCCAGGTAAATCCGATCCTCTGTCCTGCTCAGACACTGGTGTCCAGGTCAAAGAGTGTTTGACCCTTGCTACAGGTCTATGTTGTATGTGTCAGTGACTCCAGGAAAAAAACTAGAATTACAGTTTTGCGGTTGTATGCCTCTGACAACCAGTCACATTCACAACCATTCACAAGACTGAGAGGGACATGAGGTCACTGTGACCTTGACCATTTGACTACCAAAACTGAATCATTTCATCCTTGAGTCCAGTGGCTGTTTGTGCCATATTTGAAGAAATTCCCTGAAGGTGTAAATGAGGTACCATGTTCGTGAAAATTTGCCTGGCGTACAGAAGGATGGACTGACGGCCTGAACACATTATGCTTCTGGCTACAGCTATTGCCTGTGCAGAGCCAGTATAATAATTTAAATATTTCATGTCATATTGTATAGATTCTGACTTAAACAACAATAGGCAAAGATATACCAGTTAAGCTTCATTTCCAAGAGGCTCACTGTATTACAGGTAGTGGAAGCAATTTAATAATGACACAATAACATATGATATCATACCAGATACAATAAGATATGCTATGATAAAATTATTTCATAGAGAAATGCAGGTGTATGGCAGAGTATCAAACACAAGCCAGAGTTACACACACTAAAAACATACCGTCACTCCTGATATGTGCAAGAATTTGAGATGGTGACACAAAAAATCAGACAACTTTGTGCTATTTACTGTGTTGTGTTGCTTTCTTGTATGAAACACTGAAGTATACAAAAATATAAAATTGAATAACATATATGCAACAACAAAAAAATCCTACAAAGCATATTATATAAATAAAAGAAATGATATACATTTAACAAATACAATTAATTTTATATATTGCATTTTGTGTGTTACTGATCCCAAATGGTGACACTACATCTCTCTACCTGCCTACTGCAGCTCAGCTACACTGCCCATCACCTTCCGCTGTCTTGAAGAAAACAACCATGTGGATAAGCGAGTGACACGTTTTGTCCTTCCTGTGGGCGCCACTATCAACATGGATGGCACCGCCCTCTACGAGGCAGTGGCAGCCATCTTTATCGCTCAAGTCAATGACATGGAGCTAAATTTTGGCCAGATTCTAACCATAAGGTAACACCAGTTTTGTTAGTTGTGGTTTACACCATTAATACAGTTCAGTTACTGTAGTTGGTTGGTGCTCCAGTATATATAGTATATGTTTATATCATATCATATCATAACATTTGGAGGTGACAGTGGTTCAGTGGGTAGAGTAGTAGTCTCCCAACCAGAAGGTTGAAGGGTCAGAGTATAGGGTCAGAAGCTCTTGTCAACAGGCATCAGTTAAGGTCAATATCATGTTGCCTTCACTGCCTTTGTCATATGGATTTAAGCAGCTTCCCCTTAAATCTTGTATTTTACTGTTTTTGTATTGTGTAGTGGTTGTCTTTTCTCCCCTGCTATTTTATTAGTCTTTCGTATTTCTTTTTTTTTACACACTTTGAAACTTTATTTCTGTTATTCCTCCTCATACTTATTAATACTTTCAATAATTGCTTTAATTCATATCTTGTAGTGTTTTTCTTTTTACCTGTCCACAGACCACAGATAAACAAAACAGCTCTTTTGGCTACCTATGGTGCAATTAAAGCCTAAAATATTAATATACACTACATGTTAAATAAACCTGTGCATAAGTTATTGTTTTAACAGGAATAGATAAACATTTTTATTGCCACCTTTGTTGAGCTATGGCTGCAGCAACCAAAATGTATAAACCAAATTAGGGATGTTGTTCATCCAGTCTTTGTATTATTATATTAGCACCCTTTTCAATGTGATCTTATGTTGTTTGTGTCCACAGTTGTTCACTGAGCCACATTCTTTTGTTGCATCTTTATTATCACTCCATACCAAAGAAGAATCGTCATGTAAACATAGTATATTTACTCCCCAACTCACCTAGTCAAGTTTTTAATAAATATATTTGATATTTGATTTGATTTGATTTGATTTATTCTTTCAAGCATGTAAAGACAGTTGATATGACAACACACATAATTTTACACATATCCAACAAATGCAAATCCACTATCAATTTGCTTATACCTAGTACATGCTTGAATGGAGTAGGAAGAAGTCAGACTTATCCAGTCCTACCCCATGACATCATCTTACCATCATTGGTTTGCAAGCAGTAAATCTACATAGATAATTTCTATTACTATTTTTTATGTCCACACTTAAATTATTCCATAGTTTTACCCCACTTATGGAAATACAAAATCTTTTTTTGGTTGTACGTATAGCATGAATTTTTAAATTTAATTGACCCCTTAAATTGTATCCCCCTTCCCTTTCATTAAATAGTTTTTGAATTCCACCAGGTAATAAATTGTTCCTGGCTTTATACATAAACACAGCAGTCTTATATCCCACTAAATCAAAACATTTTAACAATTTAGACTGTATGAAAGCTCCATTGGTGTGATCCCTGTACCCCATCTTATGCACAATTCTTATGGCTCTTTTTTGTAATATATACAATGGTTGAAGTGAGCTTTTGTATGTATTTCCCCAGTTTTCAACGCCATACTCTAGGTATGGTAAAATCAATGAAGAATACAAAATGCGTAGTGCTTTCCCGTCCAAAATATATCTAACCCTTGCCAATATCGATATATTTTTTGCTATTTTGTGCTGAACATATCTGATATGAGATTTCCAGGAGAATTTGTCATCAACTATGACACCTAGAAATGTAATTTCATATACTTGTTCTATATTAGCTCCCCCAATTTTCAATTGAAGTTTATTATTTAGTTTACGATTCCCAAATACCATAAATTTAGTTTTATCCAAATTCAGAGATAGTATATTACTATCACACCATTTCTTTATCTTCTCAAGTTCCTGTGAAACCCGTCCAGAGAGTTGCTGTAGGTTTTCACCCGATGCCCATATGGTAGTGTCATCAGCAAACAAAACCACTTTCACTAAATCAGAAACCTTACATATATCATTAATATATAGTATAAATAATTTAGGTCCCAAAACAGAACCCTGAGGCACTCCACATACAATGTCCAGCTCACTCGATTGGTATTCACCCAACTTCACAAATTGACGCCTCTGTGTCAAACAACTTCTAATCCATTTCAGAACCATTCCTCTGATCCCATATTTTTCTAACTTGTCCATTAATAATTCATGATTGATTGTGTCAAATGCTTTTTTTTAGCTGTGTTTTATTCTTGACACCATTTGGGAAATGCACTACAGTTTATAAAATAAAGTGTGATCAGCTTGGGTGGGAATAAATTGACATGATTTAATAATTCCTCATGTGCCTTTATTGCTGTACAACGTCACCAGGAGTGCACATGTGCTGTTTGTTTGTTTCCCTTTATTAAATGTCTCCACTCTCCTCTCCATCCCTCCCACCACCCACTCAGTATCACAGCAACTGCTGCCAGCATTGGAGCAGCAGGCATCCCTCAGGCTGGCTTGGTTACTATGGTGATTGTATTGACATCGGTGGGACTGCCCACAGAGGACATAACGCTGATCATCGCTGTGGATTGGTTCTTGTGAGTTCCCACTAAATGTCAGCTTGTTTGGAATTGGTCTGTGTACTGTTCTGCCAGACTAAATGTCATTGTAAAGCTTCAGAGAGCCCAAAGGTCCAACCACTATAAAGGTTGTTGATGCATAATGCATAGTGACAGATTAAAAGCCTGTGTGGCACATTTTCAAATTTTGAGCTGCAAGCATTTTCACATATAACATAATACTTTCCTTGTGTCTTGACTGTCTGCCTCATTTTAATTTTTATCTGATTCTTTCTTTCTGTCGTCACCCTAGGGACCGCTTGCGTACCACCACCAATGTGTTGGGAGACTCGCTTGGGGCAGGCATTGTGGAGTACCTTTCCCGTAGAGAGCTGCAGAATCAGGATGCTCAGGTTTGCAACTCTGTAATCGAGGAGAACGAGAAGCCCTACCAGCTTATCTGCCAGGAAAATGACTCCCTCAACCACTGCAACAGTGAGACCACAATGTGAAGAAATGAGCAACACCCAAAAGGGACTTATGTGCCAAAAGCATTTTAGCTAAAAGGGTGGCCTGCAATTGTGCAAGGTCAGCCTTAGAGAAAAAATAGTTTTTGGTCAACCCGGCCAGTGCTTGAGGTTCCCAGAGAGTCCTAAACTCACATCTGCAAAAAGTTCTCTGGGAAACAAGGTAATATAAGGCCTGGCCTGGGTCTGCTTGATAACAGAAAATAACTACACATGCGATTTAGAAAGAGTCCACTTCTGTGAATCTGATTCAGTGACAGTTATTTTGGTCTGTTTTCCTGCTTTATTCATTGTGAGATAAGCTCAGTACGTAAAATACAGCAGTTATATACAGTTATAGAATTTGTATAATTTATGATCCATAGAGTCAGAATGTCCTATATCTTCTACCAGCATCGATGTTATAACACAGTATTATTAGATAGAAACACCACCATTGATAAAGAAGGAGAAAATCCAGCTGATTTTCCAATTTTGTGAGTATGTAAATCTTTATCACTCACCGATTTCTGTGGCTTGACATTTCATACTTATTATATCTTTTGAAGACACTACCTCTAATAGAACTTAGATACGACTCTCCTACAGCGCTACATACAAATACACACTGGAGTGTAACAGCAGCATGTAAAATGTCAGCATCACAGTTCCATATTTAAGTTTGAAATATTTTGTATGTTATTTAAGCTTGATTGTACAATTTTGAATGTAAACACTGTTAAACAATGAATTATGGTGTTAAGGTGACTCTTTACTCCTTATTACTTTGACTTTGATATATTTGAATTGACTTGGTAGGATGTTGTTGATTTACTTTGGATCATTTGTTTGAAATTACACTAGTATATTAACTTATCAAAGGAAGTTTTAAGACCATTAGACCAACAACAAAATTCTCTCTGATTGTTTTTTGCCCTAATATGTGACACTATTGACTAAACCTGTAATTTGTTTTTCTTAAATTTTACTGGAATAATATATTGCTGACTAATCAGACTAATATGATTTATTTTTGTTGTTTAGTGAAAAGGTACTGTGAAGAAAGTTTGTGAATGCTTTGAGGAATTGAATGTACACTTGCTTTATGCTTTTTTGGTGTTTTAGAGGAAACTGTAGTTCATAATTAAGAAACTGAAAGGTATTTGCAGCTTAACCGAAACAGTTGTGCCACTTTTATGCTCAGTGAGAGGTTAGACTTTAGTTTTGATGCTTGATGGTATTTCAGTGAAAATGTTATTTCTCACAGTAAAGCATCTCAGTATTTCAGATTGACAGCTTATGAAAAATGTGACAAAAAATTGCTCAGGAATTGAACTGTGATTGTCATTATTGTGTTTGTGGCTACCCCTGGTGGAGGATATTCTCCTGTCCATAAACTGTGCTCCTAGAAATAAACATGGGTCAAAGATAAAATAATAAAGGAAAAAAGTTTCAAACAATAAAGGAATAATAATCGGACAGGGTATGTGTGAATTTGATTAAAATGTAATAACTGATGACTACAAGTAGTACAATTTACCATACAAAACCTTCTGTTGTCATTTTAATGGTAAACCGACTAGGTCTCCCTCGCTGACAAATGCTCAAATACTGTTAGCTTTTATATTCTTCATTTACATAAATGCTAAATATAGGCCTATTAAAGTCATGCAAACAAGGTATATTACTGCCCTTACTAACCTAAATAAGTTATGGGTTTTACAAAACCTATAAAACGGGAATCTACAGCCATGCTGCAGCAGGTCTGAGACTTTGTGCTTTGCTTTGAGCTATATGCTAACTTTAGCATGCTAACATGCCCAGAGTGGCAATGCTAATTAGCAGTAAACACAAAGTACAGCTGAGGCTGAGGGGAAGGTTATTGGTTTTTCATGTTCTGGTTTGAAATTCAACTCCTGGAGAAATAAAGAAATGTACTTGATGATAGTGCTAGATCAAAAATCATTACAGTTTAGCTTGAGGGTAATATAAATGTGTGTAGCTAATTATATAATAATCATTCCCACAAGCCTAGCTGAGATATAGTATTTCAGCCTGCACCCAAACGGTGGCCCAACCAAGTGACATTGACATTCAGATATATCCATGTGCCTCTAGCATGGATTAAAAATGTTAACTGTGTGGTAAATAAAACACACAATTGCACACAAGATACCCAAAAGACAGCGAGCCAGTTCAAGGTATTGTTTCAGATTAATTTATAAAATAGTCCACTTGAGATACTGTGTTTCAACATACAGTGCATTCTTCTCAATACAATACTTGCGTGTTTCACACACAGTTGAGCCCTCTAAATTATAACAGCCTTGCCATGTGGTGAACTGAATTATGAATACTTTGGCATAGTTTCGTGATGGACTATTTGTGAAAAAGACAAATATAAACTGCAGATAGATATTTAAACCTCAGTGACCGAGAGCCTGATGTTGAAAGACTGACTCAGGTTTTCTACTGAGTATTCAAACAGTCAATATACCGAGTGTTCACAATATCAGAAACATTTGCTCTTTATGTGACAGAAAGTTGAATCCAGGTGATCCCACTCTGATTCCACTTTGATTTCACCCATCTAACAGTCAGATACAGGAAGCCAAAGCTTGAACAAGGGGTTTTAAACTTTAAGACAACTAACACCAAGGCTGTACAGAACAAGGTGCAAATTAAGCGATGTTCCCCAATATCCTGAACACTCATAAAACCCCATCGACTTTACTGTGTGAAATGTCCTTATACATTATTGAAGGTAAACAAATCACAAATAAGCACAGAGGATCTTGCTGATATACAATATTAATATCACTGCTCTGTTATTGTTTGTTAAATTACAACTTTTTCACTGATTTCACATCAGCCATGAGTAGTTATTTAGTTGCAGAGACTCCGGCAAATAACAGTATGAGCCATTAAAAAAAAAAATCAATTCAGCTTATCTTACAAGTAAATACTCCTCTGATGTGACTGCTCCAGCCACGTGTTTGGGAATATTTCAAGCACAGTTCATGTTTAAATATCTAAAGCCATTTATGTACGTATTGCTGCCCAGGTCTGGTCCCAGGGAGACAGATAGTGTAGATAAAGAGAGACACAAGACAACTGGAGATTCAACAAGCTTCGCCACATAAAGATGACGAGTTGCTGAAAGTTTACTTGGCCTGTGGAAAAGTGAGAAGACAAAATATAAGATGAGACATTGGACAGAGTTACAGTATGCAATGCAGTGAACTTGCATTAGTATCAACAGAGTCAAAGGGTTAAACAGGTTTTACTTATGACTATGAGATTTCCTCCATGTTTGATGGCAGTCCATCACTCCTTATTGAGAACTTCCCAGTTATATTTCTCGTCCTGATGATCACAAAAGGAGGACTCAATTACAGTCTCAGGTAAGATAGAAATAACATGAGAATCACCCTCCACAGTAATCAAATTGATACAAGTAAATATGGAGCACCACATTGGTTAATTTTGTCTGATAACTTTGACTTAATTACATTATATTTTATTATGTTTTACAGTGTACTGCTGGAAGGTGTAACAGTCATTTAGCTCTTAAGGAATTTGCCTCTGACCTCTGACATGACAGGCAGGTTGTCATGAGGAAGAATCCACATGGTTTGGCGGGCCTTGTTTCTCTGCCTCTGTATGAGTTTTCTCAGCAACCTCTTCACCTTCCGGTCTCTGGGGTCTGCACATTTCACTGCTTTCTTTGTGTAAAGACTATAAAAAGAATAATATTTATGACACAGACACAGGATGACAATACAAGTGTCTGATGGGGGAAAAGGAAAAAATGTCAATGTCTGAATCTGCTGTGTGCAGAAACACAAAAATAACAGTCATTCAGCAACACTGAGGAGAACTACAAAGATGTCTGTCAAAGCATCAGAGAATGTGATCCCAAAAGAATCACAGAGATGCTAAAAGATGACTGTATATAGAATCAAAAAAAGTTTAGTTTAGTGGAAAGAAGTCATATTGTGATGAAAAGTGAGTCAAGTTGAAAAAAACTGGGAAATAGACAGGACCAAAAGAAACTGGGCCACATGAAAAAGCATTCATTCCCCAGCTACATCAGATTTCTCTGACCTGCTGGAAGAAAATAGGTATCACAACACAGAATGGTTTACTTAACTAAACCCTGCTGTTCTGACAGACTGGCTGCAGCAGGACTCAGCTGGTTTGGAATGCATTTTCAGATAGCTTGTTATTCCCACATATTTACTTTACAATGGCAATTACATGTACAGCTCTGAGCCCTGCCATAACAACATGACCTGGAAAGATGGCAGTGCCTCTCAGCCCAGCTCTGCCATTCTCTAACAAGAGGCATATTTTCCACGCCTGCAGATTTCTGTGTGCTCTTTAGCTCCAGGAGTGGATAGTTGAAATACTTGCATGATGGCTTGAATGCTGCAGTCAGGCCCTTCTGTCTGCACCTCAAACCGCAGCACATCTTTGGTACGCACCTTACCCTGGGAGTACAACATGCAGCACTGCACATCTCTCTGCATTTGCACACCGTTACCTGGGAAGAAAAGGAAAAGAGGGATGGCAACAAGGGACTGTGTTAAAAAAAACTAATGGATAGAATAGCATTTAAGTTTTTCTTTTTTTCTTAAGTAAGAAAAAGACACTATAAAACAACATCATGACTGCCACAAAAGTTTCATATATAAAAATAACATTACAATCATCTATAGAAACAATTTGCACTCATATTTACAGGACGTTATTTAAAAACTATGAAGTCAATATTGTTATTGCAAAGGCTGAAACAGTGTTTTGGCAGCTTTGGTAGGCAGAGGAATGCTATCTATTCTGCAGAATGTGCACATGCTCTCTAGTTACATATACACAAACTGACATATGGACACACACAAGAATGTCAGAGGAGTTACAATGGCATCCAACTGTGCTGCAAAACATACAACCATGCCAGAGAAATGAGCGAGGGAAAGTGAGAGAAAGAGAGGAGGAGTGTGTTTGTGTGGAGGGTGTGTCACCATGCCTTTTCATCCAGCGCAATTAGGTAAACAAGTTAAAGTGGGATGTTAAGCAGCAGGAGCAAAAACAGCCATAAAATAGGACAGTGCTTCTTCGTTATGCCACAAATGATGTAGAATCCATCCTCAAACACATGACTGCACTTGCAGTGCTTTCACAATATTTCAGAAAACAGATGAGACGACACACACAGAGACTGAGCCCTGACACAGATGTTTTCTCTGAATGTTGCATGATTTTAGATGCTTGTCCTCCTGCATTCTGTCCCTCTGTTTACATCCATACCTCCCTCCCTGCTGCTCCTGTTGTTTCTCACCTGCAGGGTGCATGGCAGTCATGCAACACACACACACACACACACACACACACACACACACACATACACACACACAGTAAGTATGGTTGTGTCCTACCTTTCACAGATGCCAGGAGAATAAGAGTCAGAGCGATAACAGTCAACATCTGCAGCATGAACATGATGAGGCTGACAGAGAGGAGGAGAGGAAAGGAGAGGAGAGGAGGGTAATCTACTCTGTCACCTCTTCCTCTGTCGCTGCCTCTCTTATATTATTCCCTCCCTCTCTTTATACCTCCCTGCCCATCTTTTACTCACTCATTTCCACCACCTCTCTCCTTCTATATTACAGTCTTTCCCTGCCACTCTCTGTTTATCCATGTTCATCATTCTCATGTTCAACTCCCTCCCTCATTCTATTTTTCTTTCACATTCATCTCACCTCTCACTCTCTTCTTGTCTCCTCACTCAGGGTGCCAAATCTCATTTATCTCATTCGAGGTTTTAAATTCTTTCTTCATCCTGTTTATTCTCTTGTACTTGTGCATTTTGCCTTCCAGGGCAGAAACAGATATAATCAGTGAAATCAACAAGGAATCAACTTGTAGCTTTCACAGTAAATGATCAGTCCTGTATTGTCATTTAAATAGAAAATAGTTCATTTTTAAGTAATATCTAATTAACCCTGGCTTGCAGCTATAACATAGCTAGCAAAACTCTTAGACCGAACTGTAGGCATGCATGACTCATTAATCTGGACCTGGATTCCAGACAGAATAGCAAATACAGTTAGCAACTATAACCATGTAGTATATAAGTATGGTTTAAAATGGAAGTTGTAGATACAGTCTACAGTATGTTGTTCTTCCATTCTTTCTGGGTTTGGAGCAAGTCACAACAGACATTTGGGGACAGGCGGGGTACACCCTGGACAAATTGACAGTCTATCATATTGTTGACACAAAGAGACAGACAGCCATTCACTCCTATGGGGATTTTAGGGATGTAATTAACTTAACCTACATGTCTTTAGACTGAGGGAGGAAGCCTGCGTATCCAGAGGGAACTCACGCAGGCACAGGGAGAACATGCAAACTCACATAAAGGCCCCAGTCAATCACAAGGTTCAAACCTAGCACCTTCTTGTTCTGACAGTGCAAACCCAGGCCCCCAAATGAGTTTGGCCAATGAACTGTTTTACAATTAATTGGGCTTGTTCTGTAGATATTGTCTCCTCTGTATCTTTTATCTTCCATCAGTGCAATACTGTATTAATAAGGCTTGCTTGCTTGTTAGAGAAAATGTCTCCTTTGTATCTGCTCAATTTAAAAGGGGGGTATTATGAATAAGGTTCTTTCCTTGACTTCTGGATGTTTTCAGTTTTTATGCTCCCATTAGTTCAGGTTATTGTTAAAACAATGTTTCCTTCATATGCTGATGACACACAACTGTATGTTTTAAACTCAAAATGCAGCTTGTTTTAGTGTGTGTTACACATCTCCAATGATAAATGTTAGGTTATTTGTTCAAACAAATAAAGACAAATTTTACATGGTTTTGTATGGCCCTTGCAGTCATGTCTCTAATCTTCAGAATAAAACTTGAAAGTGATCTACTGACGTTATATGATTACATCCTTTGTTTTCTTACTTTCATTTCTTTTTTATGACTTGGCTCATGACAGTGCACCAATGTCGCCAAGTAAATGTAATATATTTGGCCAATAAAGTGATTCAAATGTTTGAAAAACTAAGTCTTTACAGCCTCGCCTGTCCATAAATCATAATAAAATTGTTGCTTTGTTTCCATAAATGAGCATGACAAGAATAAGCTAGAGGGTCTATCTGAGAGCTAAGCATCTACTGTGTATCCATTACAGAGAATAGATCAGCACCAGGACCTGATTATACAAAGAGAAACCAGAGAAACTGATGTAGGCCTACATCTGTTTCAGAAAGATATTCCTTTGATCTGACAGTGTGGTGGAGAAATATGACACATGCAGATGCCCAAGTCAGACAATGGTAACATCGACTGATCTAAGGCCTGATTAAGAATGACAGGCAAACAAATGTTGCCACATTAAATTGTTAATACATCATCTAACATTTTGAGTTGATTAGTTACATAACTGCTGCTATTATGTTCCATAGTGTAGATATGTGCTGAAACATCTGCAAGTAGAACCAAGGTACTAACACAATGCACTGTGGTGTACATTGCTAATAGTTGTTTTATTTCTGACTTACAAAACTGTTTCACTATTTTGGGTGGTACCATTAAATAATCTTGCAGAAATGATGATTAATGCTGTAAAATATTTTCCAAGGGTACATTAACTCATATAAATTAAGCTTACAAATACAACAATACATCACTCTTCATTGACCTAAATGCTTTGGACATTCTGGACTTTGGAGGTGATGAATGTTAAGTATGCTGGCAGGGCAGTACTAGAAACATGAGTCACCTCTCATGCAGAGAAATATTGTTTTAGACACTAATGTGCTAAATGTAATGGACACACCAGTATGGGCATGCCTATAGGTTTCCATGGTTCACCAGATTTTTAAAATTGAACCAATTATTCTTTGGCTTCTGAAATACATGGTGGAAAAAACTAAGACATATTCAGACAAGGCAACAATATGTCCCTTGTGGGCATGCACATATGAACCTTGAATGTGAAACTATGCAGTCTGTGCACTAAGAGGTGATGCTGGGGCAAAATGTGTAGCATATAAATGTGTGCGTACATGTGTTGAAGGTGGGGTTAACTGTTCAAGAATGTGACTTCTCAGCTGCAAAAACATACCTTTGCCATGAGTACAGGTCTGCTTGTGAGCCATGCATTTTCTGCATAGCTGTGTGCAGCAATTAAAATATCTCATGTCAAGGTATACTGACTCATAAAAGCAGTACCAGTGAATTGTGGCTGGATGGGTAGGGTCTTCTTCTTTGAGGGGGTGAAAAGCTTGAGATGTACCGTATGCAGGGATGGCATGGCCTCCTTGAGATGTTGGGGGTGCTCAGTAGGCTACACTGGACAACGGATAACAAACTGTATGGAATGTGGTTTTGAATACAGGACAAAGCAAAGCACATTTATTCATTATTTTCTGTGCTAAAAACATTATGATGATCTGGTGAATATGATGTTTTTATGTCATTTCTATTCAATTCAACTAAAAAAGCAGTCTGTAATTTTTATAGGATGAGGAAGGCGTTGGGGTGCTGAAGGGGGGGCGCTAATGAAGCAGGTGTGTTTAGTGGTGCTGCTGTGAATATGTGTGGGGTAGAAATAAGACAATTAAGAAAAAAATAATTCCATAGCAGAGTTCCTTATTTGTAGAGAAAATAAATTTGTATTGTTGAATAATATGCAGAAAAGCATGTGCAAGTTCATTATGCGCCAATCGACTAGTCATGCCTCCTGGCTGGCGTGGGGGGAGTTTAAGCTAATAGAGACAGAGTAATTCAGTATCTTGGAGTTAAACTAAACAGAGCCAGGAAAGGGGAAAATGTCTTTTGTGTGTGCATTTCTTTGTGTTTGCGAGAGCAGCAGTAATGACAAACTAGTTTAGTGTGTTGGATTTGTGGCTGTTACTGGCGTTCTAATCATAGCTGCTCCAAAGAATCAGCTGTCAGTTTTCAAGATTTGATTCGGTCATACCATAGTCACCTTGTTGACTGTGAGGTTGGTGTTTTGTGTTGCTGGATTTGCAGAATAAACTTTGTTTTACTTCTAGAGACTCATAGTGTGCGCTTTCCTGGGCTGTCTGTGACAGCACCTCCTTGGGTGTGGTGACTATGATGTGGCTGTTTAATGACTATCCTACCTACTCTGTTCGGCTTTGGCTGCTACCTGGCAGACAAATCTCTCACCTGGTATCCGGACAGGACACACAAGTAAATGTTATTCACTTACTGCTGAATAGTATTATTATATATGAAATTAAAACTAGGGTAATATACCGTTGGATATGCCACAGTGACAGCAAAGTTTACAAGCATATGAATATTTTTTAAAACACAGTAGAAAGTACAAGTTGAATGTGATACTTTAAGCCAGTATTGTAGTCAAGTGACTAAACCTCAAGTTTGAGATGAGTCTCGAGGCCCCAGTATTTGAGTCTGAGTGAAGTCCGAGTCACCAAAGAATAATTCGAGTCGTGTCCAAGTCAAGTCCCTGTTACCCCAGTCAGAGTCATCAAGGTCTACATTAAACACAATTCACAGAGCTCTCATTGTTTTATACTGCAAACTTTCTAACAGTGTATTGCCGCAACATATTGCTCAGCAATTTGATACATAAAAATCATTTAGCCTATAGAAAGGTGGAGTGTACGTTTTGATGGAAGTGTGCTGGGTACAGCAGGTTACGGGTGAACAGATTTTATCTATTACAAAAGATGTCATAGATGTCATCAGTACTCAAGTCTAAATTGAATCATGAGTCCTTACTCATGTAGGACTCAAGTACTACAACACTGCTTTAAGTCATATAGTATTTTCAGCTTATTCTAAGTTCCAAAAATGCTGCACATTATATGTCCAGAGTGAGCTCTTAGGAGTGAGCTCCATAGGAATATAATAGTATGCAGGGCTTAAAATGATAAACTGTAAACTGGGTTCTGCTTTTTATATTTCAGTAAACTTACAGTACCTTTAGAAATTTGCCTCTGACTGGACGAGAGGGACCACAGACCAAGCTCTTCCCCTGTCCTTAAATAGGCCTGTCCCACCCCTAAATACAGGATGTTCTTTGTAGGAACATTCACATTATCTGGCATTATCTACTGGCTCATAATAAATAGTAAAACGGTTATCTGATTAAATTATAGCCTTATGGTTCATCTTCAAATTATACTTCAAATTGACTTAATGGGGCGCTCACCCAAAAAAGGTTGAGGATCACTGGATTAAACAAACCAGCTAATTTATGACCTTTAGAGTTGCCGATATACAGATTTTTAGCCATACGAGTGCTGTGACTCTAACTATTGAATGGATGGCCATGAATTTGGCACAGGTACCCATGGTGTCCAGACAATGTATGCTAATGATTGATAATCCCCAAATTTTTCCTCTGGCTACATCATGGTCTTCATAATTGGAGTTTTAAGTCAAAAATCAAGTCATCTTTGCCATCTTTGGGTCAAAATTTTAACTTTCTCCATTCTTCAGTTTATGACCAATACCTGCTAACATCATATTACCATTTTCACTATGAGTGTGTTAGCTGTTGACATTAGTAGTTAGCTCAAAGGAGGGGCCGATGTAGAAACTTTTGGGTGGGGTGGCTAAGCTGGGACACAGACTCAGAGAGGGGTGACACATTTGAAATACATGTAAAAAGTAAATTAAATCCCTATCCATCCATCTATCCATTTTCCTCCGCTTATCCAGAACCGGGTTGTGGGGGCAGCAGTCCAAGCAAAAATGCCCAGACTTCCCTCTCTCCAGACACTTCCTCCAGCTCCTCCAGGGGGATGCCGAGGCGTTCCCAGGCCAGCTGAGAGTCATAGTCCCTCCAGCGTGTCCTGGGTCTTCCCCCGGTGGGACATGTCCGGAACACCTCCCTAGGAAGGCGCCAAGGAGGCATCCGAAACAGATGCCCAAGCCACCTCAGCTGGCTCCTCTCGATATGGAGGAGCAGCGGTTCTACTCTGAGCTCCTCCCAGGTGACCGAGCTCCTCACCTTATCTCTAAGGGTGTGCCCGGCCACCCTGCGGAGGAAGCTCATTTCGGCCACCTGTATCCGGGATCTTGCCCTTTCGGTCATGACCCAAAGCTCATGACTATAGGTGAGAGTCGGAACATAGATTGACCAGTAAAACGAGAGCTTTGCCTTACAGCTCAGCTCCTTCTTCACCACGACGGACCGGTCCCGCGCCC